GTAGGTCATAAGCTATCTGCTTGCAAAATTTAATGCAAATCCGTTCAGACTGTTCCGCGTATTAATTTAATTAAACTTTGTTAGCAGGTGGTAACTCTTAAAAAAATTAGCCAGTTTTTCAACCTACTTCATAAGCTATCTGTGTGAAAACTTCCATGCAAATCAGTTCACTCATTTCCACGTATTAATTAAATTAAACATTTCTAACAGGTGGCAACTCCTAAAAAAGTAGCCTACTTTCTAACCTAGGTGATAAGCTATCTGTGTGCAAAATTTCTTGCAAATCTGTTTAGTCGTTTCCGCGTATTAATTTGATTAAACTTTTTTAACAGGTGGCAACGCCTTCAAAAAATTAGCCTATTTTCCACTGTAGGTCATAAGCTATCTGCTTGCAGAATTTTATGCAAATCCATTCAGTCGTTTCCGCGTATTAATCTAATGAAACTTTTTTAGCAGATGGCAACTCTTAAGAAAAGTAGCCTATTTTCGAATCTAGGTCATAAGCTATCTGTGTGCAAATTTTCATCCAAATCTATTCAGTCGTTCCCGCATATTAAATAAATTAAACTTTTTTAACAGGTGGCAACTCTTAAAAAATAGCCTATTAACCAATCTGGCCTATAAGCTATCCGCTTACCAAATTTCATGCAAATCCGTTCAGTCGTTTCCGCGTGATGATTTCCCAAACATCCAAACATACAAACTTTCACATTTATAATATTAGTAAGATATACGTTATATTACGGTCTCATTGAGATATTAACTCGAGTTTAACGTTTTGAGTTTATGAAATACTGTCAAGTGTTCAAATTGGGGTGTTTAAGATACTCAGATTTTAATTTGACATTTTGTTTTTACTTTTTCTTATTCTCATTTAGTATGTTCCCGTACTACAGGATTTAACACACACACATACATAAGTCTTGAATACCAACCTATAAAAAAATACGGAATGAGGGTCGCTAGAACTTTTTACGCTAATTTCAACCATACCAAAATTATTTGGTCCAAGCAAAAATCAAAGCCAATAAAAGAGGTTAAAGTTCAACTTATCTATTTCTTATGTATTTAATATTTCGGAAACTACTTAACCGATTAAAAAATTATTGAAGCTAATTTCAATATAATTTGAATGCCTTTTATGCGACGTATATACTATAACAAGTTTTAGAACTAGTTTTATAGAAACGCCATTTAAAAAAAATATATTTTTATTTTATTTTGTTTTTTAGTATTTCTCGACTAAAAAGATAAAAAAAAGCATATAAGTTATATACATTAATTAATTACCTTTATTTTGACGTCATTAGTTTTTTAGTGGGTTATGTTGTTCAGAAGATATTAATATTTAAAAAAATCTGAAAATTTAACTTTAACCATTGATATCTTCTTTACATTTTACTTTCGCCAGATAGTTTTGGTAGGGTTGAAATCAGCACAAAAAAGTCTATCTAGCCACATTTTTGATTTTTGCATCGCTAGATTTTTGATAATCTAGACATATGTGTACAGAACGCGCTCGGAATAATTCTGATTAAATCCTGCAGTACGGGAGCAGACTAATTGTCGGTAAGTTGGTTGCAGGTTTGGATTATCAAAGACACAAACCGAATCGGGTCAAAAAAAGGGTTGCATTCCCATAAACTTCATATAAAAGTGGTGTTTAAGGAGAGTTTAACGATATATTTTGTATGGTAAACTCAGAGTTTAAGAGTAGAGTTAAGCGTTAAATTCCAAAATGGCACGCTCACTCTACGCTATACATCCATATGTATATAAGTCCGCCAAAATAAATTGTTTAAATCCCTTTTCAGTAAAATATAGACCGATTTGAAGGATAACTTCGTCAAATCCAGAAATGTTATCTCTGATAAAAAGGGGCCGTGTAACATTTCGCATACGCTACGTTATACCTATAAATATATATACGTTAGAGTCTAACGCATACTCTACGCTATATATCTATATGTATATAAGTCCGCCAGAATAAATTTTTTAAATCCCTTTTCAATAAAACATAGACCGATTTGAAGGATATAACTTCGTCAAATCCAGAAATGTTTTCTCCGAAAAATAGGGGCCGTGGAACATTTCGCATACGCGTTGCTATACCTATAAATATATATACGTTAGAGTCTAACGCTCACTCTACGCTATATATATATCAAATAAAACACCTCTTTGAGGTAAAATTTTCGAGTGACGAAAGCTGAACTAGAAACACAAAATTTATGATATCAATTTCGTGACGAAAATTATACGCATTTTTTAACTGCCTTTCAAACGTACGGAAAATTTTTTTTATTCATTGCAAAAGTTCTTTTTTTTTAATTGTGTTTCTAGAAGTAAACGGAAATTCGCAACGTTCCGAATAAATAAAAAGATTTTCCATACGTTTGAAAGGCAGTTAAAAAATGCGTATAATTTTCGTCACGAAATTGATATCATAAATTTTGTGTTTCTAGTT